ACAAGCTGCAGGCTATAGGCCTTGTTTAAGCAAACCCACGAGACGTGAGTTTGACATGCTTGTACTAGTAGGTATTTATGGAAGTTGAGTTTCTCATTTCTACCCACATTTGACTGGCCAGAAGTCAGTCTCAGAGCTCATCTCCAAACAAGGGTCCTGGTGATGAAGCTTCCTAACAACCACTTTACTCCAATGATTTTCAACCAGTGTGCCATACGAATATTTAACACATGCAATACCTGACTATTTAGTCAGGAGCACTGAACTCTTTTTCCTTAGATTATCAAATGAAAACACAACAATAGCCTTCTGGTGGGAATGAATCAGAATTATACCTTTATAATTTTGTCCCACAGAATTTCGGTAGTTAGTTCATGTGTACCATGAGATGAAAAAGGCTGAACGTTGCTCTTTTGCAACAAAGAAGAGGAGCATCTTTCTTAGTGGACAGCGGGCCTCTTGACTACAGTCAGAGTGAGTATGTTAAGGTTTCCAAATCTCAGAGAGGAATGAAATGTTTAAGGTGGGACTTCCAGATAGTCCATGAAGTCTGCATGTGGATTACAATCTTCACTTACCTGAGATCTTCAGATTTAAGGTGATCCTCAGAAACCATGAAGTCAGGACTGATTGAAAAACAGTGTCGTTAAGAAAGGGGAATTATAATTCATCAGCAATTGGAGATGTTATTTTCTTTGTTATGGAGTGACAGAGGGTAAGGGCCCAATCTGGATTTTGCTGCTTTATATTACAGCACAACTTGTGTAATTATAGTAAAGAGAACTCTGTTTCCATTTTTGTAAAACTGTTGCTACAAGTTTAGCTTTGTTAGTGCATATTTTCCCTTAAAAATGTTTTTGTGCTTGGCAGAAATTATAACAGCACATGCCTTTACCTTATGGGTTTTATTTTTGTTGTGGTGCTTTGTTGCTTCTTGGTTATTTCTATTTGTTTTATGCAAGTTTAACCTCTCTCTTAAAATTATCTTATGATTTTTATTTTGAAACTGGGATTGACTATGATATGAAATTATCCTGGATTTCATTTTCATCTTTCTTTGTTAAGATGCTTTTGATGCCACATGGTGTTGTTACCATTGTAATTAGGCAATTATTAATAACTAGAGGCCCAGTGCACGAATTCACGCATGGGTGGAATCTGGCTGGCCTGGCACCAATTGGTGGAATGGAGCTGGGACTGTTGGGAGGAGGAGTGGGGAGAGGTTGGCTGGCTGGCCCGCCCTGTTTTGGTACAGATCAGGGCTGGATGACTGGGGGAAGGGACTGTGGGCAATTGGCCAGCATGCCCCACCCCCAATTGTGGTGGTGGGGCCAGCCATGCGGAGGTGTTGTGGATGGTGAGCTGCCAGATTTACCCCTAAATGGGGTTGGGGGAGGTTGGCCAGCCAGCCCCACAGCCGATTGGTGTGTGTGTGTGGAGCCAATCTGCAGTGGAGCTGGCTGGCAGTGGGCAACGGACTTGGGCCAATTGGGGGTGGGGTTGGCTGTGGGAGGGGATGTAGGTGATGGACCAATCAGGGGTCAGGGGCTGGGGGAGGGGCCATAGGTCGTTGGCTGACCAGCCATGTCCCTGATAGAAGTGGGGGGGCTAATTGGGGGTGCTGCTGTAGGAAGTTAGCTGGCCTGTCCTATTGGGTGGGGGACAATCAAGGGTGGGGCTGGCTGGGGAGAGAGGCTGTGGGCCGATCCGGATGGGGTAGACCAATGAGAATGGGGAGGCTGGGGGAGGGGCCATGGGAGTTGGCTGGCCAGCCCCACCCCTGATCAGGCCGGTTTGCTAGCTGCAATGGACGTCATAGTGACCAGTTGTTCTGGTCATTATGGTCGCTGGCTTTATATATATATATATATATAGTAGATAGGAAATGAGCAAAAGGGAGGCCAGACATTGTAAGCATGCCATCTGGGCAGATTCACCAGGAAGCTGTAATCTTCAGGGAACCACTTGTCTATTCCCCGAAAATCACTGGGGGAAAGGTGTCCAACAAAGGGGAGATGGGTGCATTCACTGTAAGGTTGGGGAGATATAGGGAAGGTGCCTGTTAGTCTAACCTGGAACAGAGATCATTGGCTAAGGGGGTGGGGCCACTGCGAGCCCAAGGAAATTGGGGAATGCATAATCCCCCACATGAAGGAGTTTTCTCTCTTGGCATTCTTGTTCCTCTGGTTTTGCTCCTGCCTGTGTACCCTTCATGGCCATGTGGTCCTGCAAACTCCACATGCAATGGGCTGATGGACTGCAGTGGGAGCCACAAGCTAAGCTAACCTGATGCTGTATTGGACCATGCCAATATGAAACAGCAACTCTGGACAACAGCTTTCATCCTAGCTCTGCTGAAAGCAAAATGGGACCTTTTCCTTGGCAGGATGGAAGGGAAATGGGACCTTGGAAACTCAGTGATGTAATTTAATGCAAATAAATGTCACTCGTTCTCCCATGTGAATTCCAGAAAATTCCTTTTCTCATGACACTGCAAGAAGTCCACCTCTACTGTCAACTGGTATGGACATGGACAGCTCCCTACCCATAACAGTATCAGAATCAATGACCTGTGAAATATATTTCTTCTCCCACTAACTATGGAACAATTCTGACAAGTGACTTAACTTTCCATTTTTTCATTAATGAGATTTTATTGATCCAGTGATCTCTCCAGTTATCTTGAAATTAATGTTTAGGGCTAAGTAGATTTTTATGGACCATGTGATTCACCAGTGGTGTGCTGGAAACTGGTTTGTGCTAGTTTATGATAACTGAATAGTGGAAACTTGTTTTAACAACCTATATTACAATTTAAATATCCTAACTCACAATTAAAGACCTTGTAAAAAGAACTCACATTTTCCTAATTTTTGTTATATTTTACTATTTTCTATGCATTTGAAGTTATTCTATCCATTGTGTATATAGTCCATATGGTGGAAATACTACACAATGAGGTGTTATTGCACCTCTGTTCCCAATTCTGCACTTGGTGACACCACTTAGGTAGGTTGAAGTTGGCCTGGTGGGTGCTGTTTGTGAGAGGTTTACCAGCAGCCCACAGGACTCAGCACACAGATCATTCTCCTCACAGGTAGTTGAGGCTTGAAGGAGACAGGTAGGACCAGGGACACTGTAGATGCACAGTGAAGGAAGCAGCTTTTCAGGTCATTCCTTCAGAACATCTCTGCCATCGCCATGGAGCCTACACATGGCCAGTGTTGCCAGATCATTGCAGTGCAGGGTCTTCAAAGGGACACAGAATCTTGACTCCATCCTCAAGTGGATTCAATAATACTTGACTCCCTCCCTTTTAGGGATATGTTAGCGGGGAAACATGGCCTAACTGATGTCCGACCATTTTGAATCATTGAGAAGTACGGATTCTATTCTAATTCTTAGATTAGAGGTTGAGAAACAGTTTTGCACAAGTTTGCTGATTTGTGATAGTGATGGCTTTGGAAGAAAATATGTTCCCTTCTTTGCCCCCACGGGTATGGGCCAGAGCTGCAGCTGTGGCTCCGCAGTGCTGGGCCCTGGGCACGTGCACGATGGTGCACGACCAGGTTTTGTTGGGCTCCTGGCAAATAAGAACAAGATAATAAGATATTATCTTAACCTGGGAAAGACTATCTTTTATTGTGGGATTCTGTTCTTCTGACAATGGTTACTATCTTTATGAAGTGACAATGATAGTAGATGGTAGTAGTGCAGGTAGACTTAATTTTAATGTCCTTACTTTGAAAAAGCTGGAAATTATGTTGATCTTCTTTCTTCAGTGTCCAAATTTTTTACTTTTATTTTGTATGTGTTGTTGTTGTTTCCTTCCTTCCTTCCTTCCTTCCTTCCTTCCTTCCTTCCTTCCTTCCTTCCTTCCTTCCTTCCTTCCTTCCTTCCTTTTTTTTATGTTTGTGGACCAATGGAATGTAAAAGCCTAAAACTATTCCATGTTGAACATAAATGAGTTTTCTGGAAGCAAATAAGACTTTGGGAATTAGTCCATATGTGACTTACAAGTCAAATGATTCTTAATGGAATTACTGCATAGGTAACTTGTGTCAGCAGCATAGACATGTGTGAGCACTTCTGTTTACTCCTGCCGTTGGCTACTCTCATAAAACTGTTGATAATTATTACTAAGAAAATCAAAGCATGAAGAAAAAAACCTTGTTCATTTCTTCTCCTCTGCCAAGACAATCTTTTAGTCTTAATAGAACTGTTCTTTTGAGAAGAGGCATGGAAAAAGCGGGCCTTTGAGCTTAAAATTGCAATTATATTGTTAGCTTTTTATCTAAAGAAATAGCCATCATATCCCAGAAGTTCTTGTGTCTGCATCTGGCTTTAACCATTTGCCTTCCCATTAACACTGTTGATATTAACGCCAGTTTTAATTTCATGGCATCACAAGCGCATAAACATATCACACACACACACATGCGATTTTGAACAAGGACTGAAACTGTAAATTAGGAAGGAAGAGATTCACAGGATTTCATCAGACCCGTTCACTCCACACAGCGCCATAGTTATCCTGGAAAGGTTTTAAATTGCTCATTTCAAACTTACCTCGGTAGCTAAATGCCATGCGTGCAACAGATTTGCCACCACGTTAGTCATTTTCTTTCCTCCGTTTTTTCCTTGCTGTGTCTGTACTGGGAGCACAGAGCAATACCATTTAGTAAATTATGATTGGATGGCTGGGCAACAGCCCCAGTGTTGAACAGTATTTGGACTATAATTACTTGCCGGCTTTGTCACAGTTGACATTAATTATTGATGGAACTTTCAGAAATAGCGCATGTGCCAGGAGCCTTTCACCGGAACTCCGGCTCCCAGCAGGAGGGATGCTGAAGAGGGTGGGGGGAGAGGCACCTGTGGCTTGTTTATGTCTGTGCACAGCAAGCCTGCACGCGGTGGGCTGTGTGGCACCTGTGTAGAGGCCATGGTGTAACAGGAGGATGAACCGTCAGGCTTATTTCTATCGTGTTCCTCCCCAGGAATTGCACCGCAGAAGCCAACTTCAGCCGGAGCCAGCCAAGACGAAAGCTCTCCAGACTGTCATTGAGATGAAGGTAGGAGCTGTTCACATTTGTCAAAAAAGCCGTGGCTCCGGAGTTTGTCCTAACTTGGTGGTGCCTAACAAACATGTGAAATGGATGCTTGTTTCTCTCTAGGCACCCCGGGAAGTGCTTTTATTCTGGGTCTTTTGCCTTCCTGGGTACATTTAATTTCTTGGCCCTTTAAGATTCCTTTTCTGAGCAAAAGAATAAAGGTATCTCAAGTATCTCTTGGCGGAGAGGAGCTGAAAGGAGCTGAGAGGAGCTGGGTTCCTTTCCAGGGCATTGCTGAAGCTTTTTCCCTTGAGGGAGGTTTTGTGTATGATTTAAAAGTAAATTTCTAACCCTGGGAAAAAAAATATTTCTCCCTTACACTCACATTGCAATGAAAAGACACCTTGACAACTAAGATTTGGCTTTATATGCAGTAGAGTCATTAAATAATTTAAATGATGCTGTTAGCAAACTTTGCTTATCAAAAAATATCTCTCTCTCTCTCTCTCTCTCTCTCATCAAAGAAAATACTCCAGAATTTTCTCCTAGCCAAGCTTGTAGGCAATACTTTTTAAAATCCTCTCCAGGTATCCCCTTTAGCTGTGGAAGCATAGAAAGATGCTATTTAAAAGGATCAAAGACACTCCGGGATGGATTGAGGGCATTTTAAGAATAATGATAGAAATGATGGTGGCCAAATCACGACTTACGATTAAGAAACAGATCTAAATGAAAACCAATTGCTTGGTCAGTATCTAGAAATTTGAAGTCTTGTTACTTCCAGTTATTGCCAGAAGAAAACAGAGTATTTATCTTAAGAATAAATGATCCTTGATTTAAATTGCTCCATGACCACACCGCAACAACAATGTCTGCAATTTAGCAATTTTACACTTGAGTTTAACACTCAAGGGTTTGCTGTCACCAACAGCCTGGAAGAAAATTGTGAAGTTTGCTGATAGGATAATGGTTTATCTGTCTTTCTTATAGCACATGATTTTGAATTATCTGCCAAAAATTCATATGTTCTGGGGAAAAATAAATTAATATGAACCATTGAGTTCTTGGCATGTACAAATCTGTTCTGGTTGCTTTTTTTCTCTAGTCAATGACAGTGTCTTCATCCAAGTAGATTTTTGTGGAAATAATGTAGAACATTTGCTTTTAAACTATATGTCTCCCAAAGGTTACATGAGTCAAGGCACTCATAATGCATTTGCAGCCAATTGGTTTGAAAAATATAATCAAAGGGACAACTGCCAGTAAGGTTAAAAATAATTGCTAATTTTGGCTTATCAATTCATTTTGAAGTTATGTAATTTTAACTTATTTTGAAATGAAACTTATTCTACAGTTGAGGGAGACTGGTTCATAACTGAGATTTCATCCATACATTAGAACCAAACTTGAAACATTGATAAGGTTTATAAAAATAAAAGGAAGAGAGAAAGAAAAAAAAGAAAAAGATTAAAAAATTAATTTTAAAGATTTTATTTTATTGCAAAGAATCATTCAGTCCCTTTCTACCCTCCTCCACACCTATATCCATACAATTAGTAATGAGAAAGAGGGTGCATCTAAAATCTATTTCCAAAGTATTGTATGTGGTTTTTTTAAATAAAAGAATAAATGTATCTCAAAACGATTTGGAGAAGCCAGGAATGACATCTCTCCCAGTGCTGTGGGCATTTTCCTAGTAAAGGTCACTATAAAGACAATTAGTACTTATTTGTGACTTTAATAAAATAGAAAGTCTGTTTGACTCTAGCTTACTGTTTTTAACATCATATGTTTTGTTAGAAAACAAAAAATAATAAATAAAAACACTTGTTTAGGCTATCTATGTGGGTAGGAATAAAAGCATGATATTTTAGGGCAAATTTATAGCCATATATTGTCAGTAAATTGAGTCTAGAGTTTTCCTCTGATGATGCCAATGATCCTGATTCATAGAAACATTTTAAGGACAAATGATGATCAATGTATTTGTCAGGGAATCGGGCCTGGAGTTTTTCTGTTGTCTTTTGGATGCCTGCTTATTTACAGAGTATGGCCTTCTGTTTTGTCAGTGGAGAAGTCTGAGTCCCATTAGCATCTACTCAACATGCATAAATTGAATTAAGTAGGCAGCTGGTAGAGGGTCATTTCCTCAGCCATGTGATAGAGGCTGTGATCTTATTTTGTGTGTGTGTGTGTGTGTGTGTGTGTGTGTGTGTGTGTGTGTTAATATTAATCCCTTTTAAATTGGAGGGAGTACGGGAAACCGATTCTTTATAAGCTATAGGGTTAATTATCAAATAGATATGACCCTTACTCTTTGTGGTGGAATTTGAGACCCTCTTGTGTTTTAACTTAAACACTTTTGGGTAAACATGAGTATCATTAATAGCGCCTTGGGCAAAATCTGGAGTTAAAGGAAGCTTTCTAAGAGTAAGTTGATCAGTAATTTCAGGGAGGTGACGTGAAGTAGGGGCTTAGAAGTTATTCCTGCTTATCCCTTGCTAATTAGTGAATCTGAGGGAGACTTTTTGACTTCTCATCTTCTCCACCCATATACTTTGCATCAACTCTAGAAAGGTATTTATTGTGAAAATCTGTGAAGTCAAGCACCCGAAAACCACAATCTCATCCGTGTAGTGGCGCTCTGTGCACTTCACATTTGTGGGGTTGTGAAGGTCTCTGTGGGGAAGCCATGGGGAGGGCCATTGGGGGCCATCACATCCATTGCCAGCCACGGAGCCTAAGGAGGGTCACCTGAGTGAAGGTGAAGGGAAGCAACATGCATTGAAGTTATTTGTGATTTATCTTCTTGCAGGGAGCTCCAAGTTTTAATTTTGGCTCCGATTTGGCCTGGCAGGTATGTTCCTGGTTTGCACGGTTAGAACACTGTGTGTGTTTCTCTGAAAAATCAGTTTTCCCATGGATGTTGCAGTGCTTTTCTCTTTCTTGCTTTTGTGTCCAATTTTTTTTTTTTTTTTTTTTTTTTTTAACTCAGATCCTCTTTTCTGCGGTTATGGAGAATTGTCAATAAAAAGGGCAGCTGAAAGGCTTTTTACCCTCTTTTTTTTCTTTTGTTAATGCTAAGTCTTTTGAAAGAATGTGTTTTTAATTTACTTTTATTATAATTCTGACCTGGCATAAACATGATGTCCAAAAGTTTCATTTTCTTGGGTTCATCCCTAAGAATGAAAGCTGTATCCAGTGTTATTCCTCCTTCCTTTTTTCTTTTTAAAGGGAAATGCATTATGGTAATGGCAGTACTTGTCAGATAATCTCCTTTTTTTTGTTTTTTTTGTTACTCAGAACATTTACTATAAATGAATGAAAATCTAATTCAAAATGGCTTAAGCCAAAAGGAAATTTATTGGCCCATATAATGGAGAAAAAAAAAACCCCACAACACAAAGCAACAGAAGTATTGCTTCAAGCACAGCTTGATCCAGGGGCTCAGGAGATCTTGACAGATCTCATTTTCCCTTATTCCATCTCTTGTTTTGGCTTCCTTCATGTGAGCTCATTTTCAGACAACCTCTTCCCCTGTCTGAACAAGGTGGCTGCAGCAACTCCAACAGTCATAGAGGGAAGGAACAGGGCAAAAGATGTTTTTTTTTTAAATGCAGAAAAACCCAGTCAACCCCAGAATAATAATTACCGAGATAGGGCATAGAAGCATAGAACCTCACTCACACTTAACAACTCAGGCTGAAAATAAAATGCATAAAGTTCCCTAATTCTCTTCTACTTGTGAATTAAATGGCACTTATTCATCAAGTAAAACAAGTCTGATTCTAGCACTAACAACAACAGAATTTATCAAATGTATCAAATGGGACATATATTAGTGATGTCATGGTTTTAGTGAAAGTTGCACAAAATATACTTGATCTGGTGAACTTGTTCTTTTTTTTTAATAATATATTTTATTGAGTTTTTACAGAGAGGAAGAGAAAGGGACAGAGAGTTAGAAACATCAATGAGAGAGAATCATTGATCATCTGCCTCTTGCACCCCACCACCGGGGATGTGCCTGCAACCAAGGTACATGCCCTTGACTGTAATTGAACCAGGGACCTTTCAGTCCACAGACCAACATTCTATCCACTGAGCCAAACCGTTTTTTTGGATGGTGAACTTGTTCTTAAAGTGGATTAAGAGGCTGGGGACACTATCCAGTTTGGCTGGGTGGATAGAGAGTTGGCCTGCATACTGAAGGGTCCCACATTCGATTCCTGTCAAGGGCACATGCCTGGGTTTTGGGCTTGATCTCCATTGGGGGGTGTGCAGGAGGCAGCCAATCAACCATTCTCTCTCTTCACTGATGTTTCTATCTATCTCTCCCTCTTCCCTCCTCTCTGAAATCTATTATATATATATATATATATATATATATATATATATATATATATATGTGTGTGTGTGTGTGTGTGTGTGTGTGTGTGTGTGTGTGTGTATTTTTTTTTAAAGACGCTTGGGGCATAATGTCTCCATGTGACAATGATTCTATGGCAGTTGAAGTGAGGATTGTGGGTGTTTAGCTTTCCAGTCACATGACCAGCCAGGGCACATGTTGTATTTCATGTATGGTTCTTCTTTAGTAAAATTGTCCCCACCATGGAGGGGGTTGGGCTGCATTGTAAGCAAAGATTGAGCTTGCCTGAATTGTGCACTTGTAGTTTTGCTGTTGATGAAAAAGTGTGACTTGCATTCAGATGCGAAACTCTAAACTCTAGTGGTGAGGTTGATTTTTATTATTAAAACTAAAAATCAGCCTTGTCTTGGTGCTCAGGCATGGAGACTACTCTTCTCCATGTGGTTGAGATGACCTGCAGTTGGGTTAAGTTCCCCTAAAAGAGATCTCAATGCTTCATCAAATTCAGCCATTTCAGTTCTAGGCCACTAGATGCATCCCAATTTCCAGGTGAACTTAATTCTAGTCTTAGGCTCTAATCAGGAAAAGTATGTGATGGCTGAAGTATTTTTATTTTTTTGTTTGTTTAGGTGTCTATTTCATCTGTCTTTTG